GTACTTTCAGAAAGAAGCTTTTTGAAGAAAGTTAAACTCTACTGGTTCTAGTTCTGAGTGGACTTCCACAGTCTACAGCACCCCTTGATTTGGTCTCCTTTATACAAATTATTCATACTAGGAACATTTTAGCTTCTTCTTACCATCTGTACTTTGAATTGTTTTAACTTCCATCAGAGGCCCATGCATTGAACAAATGCAGGGCTATGTTAAAACAGTAGCATCCCTCCTAACTACTGTTTCATCATGGCTTATTATGTAAGTCTTATTCTGCTGTTTAAAACCCCTGGCATGAACATTATAGATTAATTTAATTTCTAATTAGGCAGGACAGCCTATGTTTCCTTCAGCACTGATGTATCAGTCAGATGCGCACTTTTCCAGTTATGCCTTGTATTACTCAAGGTCCCATGAAATCCTACTGGAGTCTGAGGCCTACGGGGGCCAGCAAGACCTCTCAGTAGAGCCATTTAGCCCACTCATAGCACTACATTAAGGTGGTTGCACTTCTTTCAGTTTGGGGGAGCAAGGATTGGGAAATGTGGAGCAGGGCATAATGCATCTCAGTAGGGCATTTCTTGGCACTATAAGTGGTCAGGTGGAATACACTGTAAAGTTTCACAGATTTACTCCTACAGGTAGCAACACATTCACAATCACATACACCTGTCAAGAAGAACAGATTCTTCTATGCGATTTGAAAAAAACAAACATATCTCATACAGAAAATCATTTCTTCCAATGCATTGCAAGACATATTTTACATAGGGGATTCATATCATCACAGGAGAAAAAAAATCATGCAAATGCCCTTCCTTTATAAACATCACTTGCAAACAAGAGGGAATTTCAATAAAGCACAATAAAAATTCCACACATACCATGTGCACATTTTCTGGATGAACAAACTATTTTCCCACACTCATTTATGATGGTGCTGTTAATGTGCTCTTAGCACTTGGAAATAATCAAGAGTATTACAGTGACTCAGCTTGCGTGTCCCTAAAAAAACTGAACATTCGTACATTTCCCCAATGCATAAACATCTGCCATTTCAGAAATGTATACAAACAAGTAGTTAAAGATGAATAAACCCAATTCTCCTTACATTTAAGGATTCAGTTTACAGTAATCCATTCAAGGGGGTTTTTAACTGCAACTTAACATATTTTTTTTTAGTGATTAGTCATAAATACTGTGCTCTTGGAGAAGGGGGTGGCAAAATGAAAAAAAATCATTGTCTTAATTATCAGGTAACAATACAGAAGTGGCATCTTCTGCGTGTGTGTTTAATGTTGTGTATTTTAAAGCTGTGTGGTTTACTTTTGCATCATTTCCCAGAAAGCTTAAGTTTTCTCTAATAAATCTAGAATGACTTATTTAGAGATCAAATCTTTTTTTTTGATAGTGAACTCCTTTAAGGCACAGTGCAGAAAGAAGGAATGGTAACAAACTCTGCAGAAACCAAGTTGTTTGCACAACCTCACAGAGTAACTGCACAAGCACTGTACTGTAAGAGCTCAACAAGTTCCTTGTAAATTATGGGCTAAGTGCTTTCTCATTTAAGGCCACGTGCAAATAGAGCACAGAATACCCAAATAGTACAGCTTTTGTTGGGCTATTTCTTTCCTGCAGGAGCTCTTCTGAATAGCTCAGCCACTAGTTCTAAGGAACAGCTAGCAGGCAAGGCCCTGGGTTTATATGAACAGTACCCATTTGGCAGAACAAAGCTCTGCAGAGAAGACCTTATTCTAGCTGAATGACCTCATGTCTTGTCATTTAGCTGAAGTTTAGCTCTTGGCCTGCTGTGTGGTTAGCAACTGATTCTTTGCCAATAACCCACTCGTCCTTTATGGTACAATAAAACCAGGGAAGGGAAGTAGAAGGAAGATTTACTACCACTCAGTACAGCAGTTGCTTATAATGCAATCTGCGTTTAAGCTCTCTTCATTGTTGTGAGGGAACTATGATGCACTGAGTAAGTGTTCTGACTGCAACATGCCAACCAGGTCTCCTTTGAAAAGATTTGGACTTCCAACAATGTACTACAGAAGGAAAGCAGCAGATGTGCCATGGTTTGGGAAGGTAAGATGTTATCATGCAGCTGCTTGGCTCCTCTGTACAAAGCCTCAATTTCCCTGTAATTTGATTTCCATTAATACTGAAGAGACAAAATTATTTGAAACCAAACCAGTGGTATTAAGTAACTCTAATTTCTAAGAATGATTTTGTAAAATGAATTATTTGTTCAGAGAAAAATTGGGTAAAAAACAATCATGCCTTATAAGTTATTATTTAAGAAAAATGTTGTATGTTTTGTGAAACATACAAAGGAGTTTTTTGGCTCCATTAAATGGGTTGTATACTGTTTCCATCCTCTTTTAAAAAATAAAAAACCCTGGTAAAGAGAATATTCAGTATGTCTGTTTCTCATAGGTATTTATTACGCCTGTGCAAAGCAGCTAGTATTTGTTTCGGATTTGGATGATTTGAGGGACAGTGATTTGATTTGGTGATTCGAATCACTGTCCCGAATCGATTCGGCCAAATCTGATTTGGAGATTCAGCTGCCGCCAAATTGGCTAAATTTCCAAATCAAACAGGCCCCGTCCCCCATCTACTCTCCTAGCCCCATCAATGGCTGCCCCATCCGCCCCCTACTTACTGGCACAGAGCCCAGGTTCAGCTCCTTGCAGCGATGAGTGGGGACTGCCCGAATCACCAAAACTTTCTCTGAATCTTTCCTGAATGATTTCAGAGGCTTCAAATTGGTTCAGACCTTTTTACTGGTCTCCTAAATGGATTCAGAGATTTGGCCACCAAATCAGGCTGAATCTCCTCCAAATCAAATCAGCACCTGAAGCTTTGCACAACCCTAGTATTTATCCTGTTCCCAATGAAATCAGTATAGTCCATTAACTTCCACTGAAAAAGGACCAAGACCCACACTGTGCATCATAAAGGAAAATCATTACAGTTGAATAAATTTTAAGATGTGGCTGAGTCATCATGGAGTGTTTTTCAGTAATATCTAATTAACGAAAAAAATCAGGTTATCACTGTAACACCAGAAATAAAAGTGTTGTAAGGGATTCCATTTTCTTGTGAGATGCTTTTGAATCTGTCTGATCTGAAGCTGATACCACTAGGAAGAGTGCCACTGACACTTGTACTTAATGGTAGCTCCCTAAGGAGGAATATCCAGTTTCCATTATTGAAATCTAGAGCTCGTAGATAAATGTCAATAGTAAGTCACAGCAATTGTCTTTTTAATTATCCCCCTTCCCAACCCTCATTTAAAGTTATGAATTAGGCAATTCTCTCTATGAAACACTTGTCATTATGCTGATCTACTCCAAATCCTGCACTCTTCCTACATGCACATTCTCATGGATTTCACCTGGAATAGCTTGTACACAGACCTGGGACCTGTTTGTTTGGGGTTTTTTTATTCCTTTGAAAGCTATCAAAAATGTCAAGCAAGACATCTATTTGATTCTATCTGTAGATAACATGCCCCCTCATTTCTGTTCTTTCTTCTATAATAGGCACAGACAAGTATTGTGCTCAGAAAAGATACCATGTGCAACTGTATGCTGTTATCTGAGGGGACTTTTGTTCCCAGTGAGGTTTCATTACCTATTTCAGAAACAGTTACCAGAATTCCCTACTTCTACGGCAACATAAAATATGCCAGACTCACTGCTGGCTATGCATTTCATACAGCACATCTCAATAAGACATTACAGTTGGTTTTAAGGTTAGGGCCTCTGCACAACTTATTCTGTGATGCAAATTCTGCTCTCACGTGCACTCACACTGATCCCACTAAATGTAAAAAAAAAAAAAAAAATTGCTAATTTTCATTGTTATTCAGCATGAGCGAATTCAGCTAACTTACTCTCTTGGGAACCATTCCCCCTTTTTTCTGCATTATTTACTCCACCCCTCACCCCCCAAGATGCTGACATCTTCCCATTAAACGACCCATATTTCTTCTACTGCCAGCCAGAAAAACATGGGTGGTTAAATGAGGGATTCATGCCAGCTAATTCTATTAATTTACACAGAAAAGTAGCAGGTGTAGAAAATCAGACTGATAAAGGGTGCATCTACACATGCAATTAATGTACCTGAATAAACTCCAATACAGTTCATGCCAGAATTTATTGCTCCTGGGCTCAGTGTTTACACGTGCACCTGGGTCTGCAGTATGTCGAGCCAGGGCAGCACAGCCTCAGGTGACAGGGGGCCTCAGGGGTCAGCCTGCCAGCTCAAAGCTGCTCTGCCCTGGCTCAACATGCTGTAGAAGGGCTGGCTGGGGCATGAGGGTGTTCTAGTGGAGGGGTAGCCAGCAGGCAGCCCTCGCACTGTAGTACTCTCATGTCCTAGCCAGCCCTGGTCACTACCTAGATGCTTGTTGTGGCAGAGTAAACTCCATCGTGTGGTGGGCAGTACTATCCTACAGAGGATTTAATTAGTTTACTCCAGCCTAATAGCATCGCATGTGCACATAGTGATACTTTACTGTTGGGCTAATTAGTCAACTCCACGGTAAAGTGCATGTGTAGATGCCCCCGACAGAACAAGAGATGCTCTGCTGAAGTCTGAGTTACACCAGAGCTGCATTTGGTCGCCTAACCCTGTCAGTGTTTAGCAAAGTAATGACTCAACAAGAGCCATTACTTTACCAAATACTGACAGAGCTAGGAGACTAAATGCAGCTCTGGTGTAATTCAGACTTCAATGGAGCTGCTCTTGTTAAGCTCAGAGCTGAATTTAACTGGAGTGTTTAATTGTTATAAAGCAGGCAAGGCAGTAAAAAGAACAAAAATTATCCTATATTTTTGTACTGACATAGTTTTTGTTGATCTTAATATATGTAAAAAAGGTTTCTGTTTGTTCCAATATAAATATTGAAATATAGTCACTTCACGTATAAGGAATAAACCTTCTTTAAGTGACATAAGAATGTGTAGATTTTTTCAAAATATCAGTAGTAACTAAGCACTTATTTAATCCAGTCTTTTTTTTGTTAAAGGAACTAAGAGGAAATCAGGATGCCAAAAGAGTACAAGATCATTGGAACTGGTATTAACTTTGAAATAAGTATAATAAAAACTACACTTGCTCTGTGTACAAGTACTCCCATATTTCCATCTACTCTGCTGCAATATACAGCAATGTGTCACAGTTTTACCCATCCCACAGAGCACATCAGTACAGCTACATGTAAAGTGAGATCAGTGCTTTGTCAAACACCTATTCATATCTACATTCTATCCCGTAACTAAATAAATTAGGTTACATTAAAGTGCTACACCAACACTAATGGTCTGAAACAGTAGTAATGCACATTTCTCTTTCAAAAATACAGCAGCTATAACTTCAAACATAGTCACTTTACGTGAATATGCTTACATGTCACTTACAGTATTCAACACAATCCATGACACAAAACAGTCAGTAAAGACTCTTACAAAGTAAAAAGATAACTTTTTTTAAAGTGTAAATGTAGGAAACAGAATTGCAGAAAAAAGTCTTCAGAATTCACACTTGATAGATTCATTTAATCGTAACTTGCTGATGTCGATATTTATATCTTCTGGTTTGTCACGTCTGTATGTTACTGTTCTTGTACAAACAGTAGGCAAAAACATCTTATCCTTAAAGGAGAAGATACAATTTTTTTAACAACAATTAGCTAACATTTATATGCAAGAAAAAAGTGCTGAATATGTTTTTCTCTAAAATCAGTTACCTTCTTTGTTGAAGATACTCTGTAATCAGCTGGGGACTTAATTTTATTGCTATTCCATTGTAGGATTATCTGCCTGATGATAAGTACATTAAGCAACCCAATCAGAAATGTTACTATTAAGATTATGACAAAGATTCTAAAGTAGTTTGGGTCAGAGAAACATTCTGCAATAAAAGGAAAACAAAAGCGTAAACCTAAAATACTGATAAGGTACATCCATTAAACAAACTGAATTTAACAACAGATATTAACCTAGCACAGATTAATTCAACCAAATAAAACAAAAGAGTACTCTATTTACTGAAGTATATAAGGAAGGGGCAATTATTTGTATTATTATATGTCAGATACTTTTAAAGTTGCTTTTAATCAAAAAAAGTAATTCCAGCTAAGTTGATGAATAGATCAATGGTTGTAACATTATTATTTATACTTCCATTACATTAATATCAAGAAGGCCTAACTAAGATGAGGCCCCATTTTGTTAGATGTCATAAAAACACACTGCAAGAAATAATCTCTGCCCAAAGCGCACAGTCTAAAGAGAAGAAAAAAAGTAGCTTCAACACCACTTCAGAAAAGGCTGATCAAGTGAAAATCTAAGAAGTTTCAAAGCGTAGTGTCTTCTGTAACTTGCGTCTGTGGAGCTCCCAGCCTGTTGCTGTTTTCAGAATGGGAGGGATGAAAGGGAGCAGAGGAAGTTCAGTCTGCAGTTTTTTCAGCCCCCATGTCTATGCATAGCACCCCAGAGGTGGGAGGGCTCCAATTCACCTATCCCACCCTTCAGCATTGGCTGTGGGGGGAGCTCAAAAAGGAGCTGCTTTTCTCCCTCCCTATTATAAAAAAAGCAAGCACTGGCAGAGAGCCTAGCCACTACTATGGGAAACTGACTGCAGGCTCCCAGCCCACAACTAGATTCTCTTCTCTGCTGGAACCAACAGTGAACATCTGTTTGGTTTGGGGTAATGTAACTCAGAACACTTTGCAGAAATCATTTTGAGTTACAGCTGGGAGCTGTACTTCTGTGCACACACTGGAAGGTCACAAATGGTGCTGCCACACGCTCAATAGTTATCATCTTTGCACGGCAAATTTGACCTCTTCTGATTTATGATAGATAATTGTGGAAGTGTCCATGGTGCATGATATTTCAGAAGATCCAAAGAGTGCTTGGAATTGGACATTCATATTCAATCCATGTTCTATCTTTTATCTTAAATTGTAGTTGTACTGCCTTCCAAGTGTGTGGATTTGCTCAGAGGCCAGCTACACATTAAAACTGGTCTTAAGGGTAAGTTTGTAGTAGTAAAGGATGGCAACTCTGTCAAGGAACTTGAAATATTAAAGTTTTAAGAGATGACTGAGTTAAATGATGAAATATTTTCTATTTAGGTCAATCTGATCATATATTAAGAAAGAAAAAATATTTGTATGTTGTCCAGCTTTTGTTATGTACAATTTTTTTTAATTAAATCCAATAGTTCTAAGATTCCAAAATATAGATATATCCATTTTTCTAACCTAGCAATACCAGTGATGAATAGAAGCAATGTCTCCTGATTCCCAGTCCAGCATTGTTTTACTGGGCCCAGCTGTCTCTCACACCATTAAATTCTCTAGCTCCCTTTCAGAAGTCCCAACCAGAATTTTTTTGTTACAGGCTTCTTTAAAATGGAAACGCACATACAAAATATGAATCGACAAAAAGTGATCACACAAATGTATTTTCATGAAATTTGGGCCTTGAATGGGCTTTAGGTGCTTTTATTAAAAGAAAACTACCCTTCACATGCTGTACATTTCAAAGGGACATTACATTTTTTTTAAGCTATGTGCACTTCATTTGTTCATTTCTGGTACTGCTAAATAATGTAAACATATTCAAATTAATAATACAGACAAATGCTTTAAGAGGTTTCTGTAAATATTTCTTCAAACATTATTGACTAGGATTTATTATTATTAGATATGGCTACTTAAGGAGCTGGAAAATCTGATTTAGCATGCTTGGCAATCACATTTCCTGTTATTATTTATCTTTTACTTTCCCTGAAGCAAAGAGTGAATTCTCTCTCTCTCCCTCCCTCCCTCCCTCGAACAAATCACAATATACTTGAGCAGGAACATACAACAGAGATAAATTTCACCATGAAACCTGATGAGTTTTCCTCTTGTTATCTGGGAAAGACTTTTACATACCTGAAGTTTTGTCACTATACTGCATCATATAAGTGCATGAGGTTTTGCACTGGTCAAGTATAATTTGAGATACATTGTTGGAATGATGGCAGTGAACACAACTCCTGAAAACAAGCACACAGATATAATCACTTAAAAAAATCTAATTACTTTATTGCATTTTCCTTAGGAGATGAAATCAACAGAATTCAGCATTCATTTCTGATAATGCTGCCCTGTTGCTTGAAAATCATTAGGCTATTTAGTAAAGTTTTCCACAATGATTTGAAGCGAATACAATTAAATAGACATATGCTGGTTAAAGGCTCTGCTCTCCCCTAGCCTCAGTACTGCATTTCTTGTGCTTTGCCTCTCAAAGGGTGCGTCCAGATGAGTGCGCACATGCCTGTTGCCCCAACTCAAACCCCTTTGAGGCGGGGCAACAGGCATGTGCAGGAATGAAAAAATGTTCTCCGCACTGGAAGTCTAAAAAAACTGCTCCGCAATAGAGTGGAGCAAGGCATGGTTCAAGACCGTGCCCGGAGCCAGTCCTCCAAAAGCGACACTCTGGTTTTGGCCAGAGCATCTCTTTTGTGTTCCTGCTGCCCCTGACACTGTCCAAGGTAAGTTGGGGGGGTGATGAGGGGTGGCAGGGGGATGTGGGGGGAGGTTTGGAGAGAGACGGGGGGGATGTCCCTGGGGCTGTGGGAGGTGGGGGGAGGACCTGGCTCAGATCCCTGAAGCTCACTAGTTTGGCTTTGTACTGGAGTGGGTCACACAGCCCCCTGGAACCCTGTGACATGCTTCGGTGCAAGGCCGGGCTAGCAAACCACGTGGGGCTGGGCCAGGTCCTCACTCCCCCCCCCTGCAGGCACAGAGGGCAGAGGCGGGAGCCAGACCTGGGGCCCAGCCCATGCTGACAGGAGCTGGCGCGGCATGCGGTTCCCATGTGCCATGTCCTGCCACCTGGCCAGGCCCTTCTTATAGCTGCAGGACTTTGCCCAGTGCGCGGTGACCATGCGGAACCAAGCCGGGTCCTGCTGGCCCTGGGGCTACTCGTGTTGCCTGGCAGCCGGGCGGCATGAGCAGCCCCAAGGCCGGCAGGACCTAGCTCAGCTCTGCGTGGTCTCTGCACGCTGGGCCAGGCCGGGGAACGCGAGCTGCCTGGGGCCGGCAGGATGCAGCTTGGCTCCGCACAGTCCCCGTGTGCCGGGCTGGGCCAAGCAGCACAAGCTGCGTGGTCCCTGGGCGGCTCATGCTCCCCAGCCCGGTACGCAGAGACAGCAAGGAGTCGAGCCGGGTCCTGTCAGCATGGGCTGGGCCCCAGGGCCAGCTCCTGCCTCTGCCCCCTGTGCCTGTGGGGGGGGTGAGGACCTCGCCCAGCCCCATGTGGCTCACTAATATTGCCTTGCACCAGAGCGGGCCACAGGGCTCTGGGAGGTGTGGCTCCTGTGCATACCTCCTGGAGCCATTTGAGCCGCTCCAGTGCAAAGCCAGACTAGCGAGCCTCAGGGACCTGGGCCCAGCCCGGCTGGGCTGCAGAGAGGCCCCAGGACCTGGCTGGGCCTGGCACATGACCCAGTGTGGCATGCGGGGACCATGTCACCATGGGCCCAGCCTGGCTGGGCTGCAGAAGGGCCCCAGGACCCAGCTGGGGCTGGCACGTGGTTCCCGCATACCGCACTGGGTCCTGTCACCATGGGCCCAGCCTGGCTGGGCTGCAGAAGCGCCCCAGGACCCAGCTGGGGCTGGCACGTGGTTCCCGCATACCGCACTGGGTCCTGTCACCATGGGCCCAGCCTGGCTGGGCTGCAGAGGGGGCCCAGGACCCAGCTGGGCCTGGCACACGGTCCCTGCGTGCTGCACCGGGTCTTGCTGCCACAAGACCAGCCCGGCTGAGCAGCAACAGCATCCCCAGGGCCAGCAGAACTAGGCTGGGCTCAGCGTATGGTTCCCCCACTGCTGCTGTTAAAGATTAGTTATGGGCACTGGGCAGGGGAGGCTGGGGCTCTGTGGGGGATAGGGGCTGTGGCCCTCCAGGGAGAAGCTGGACCCTGGGTGGGGGGGGGCATTCCATGTGCTGTGTTGGGGGGGCTTCACCCTGTGGGGGCCAGGGGACCCATCCCTAATGAGCAGCCCCCACACAAGGTCCCCCACACCCACAGTGCCCCCAGCAATTGCCCCACTCCTACCCACAGACCAACCCACATCCCTCCACATCCACCCACCTGCCTTCCCCCACACCCCTCATCACCCCCTTTCTATAAACACCACTCCTCCCCATCACACACCCATCATGTATGAAGAAAACCAAAAGCACAGATCAACACATATAGGTATTCAGAATTTATCTTTTCATGATGACAGAGACACTGGTAGGCTTCCAAATTGCTTTAACACTGTAAATATACCAATAAAGCATTACCCAACTTATCACTGTCTCTCTCTCTTGCAAGATATGTGTGCGCGTGTATAGAGTGTTTTTTTGTTTTAAATGTGGAAGAACATGGATTTTGGGGTATTTTAAAAGATGGATTTGGGATGCTGCTGCAGCAGTCCAGCTGGCACAAGGGGTAGTGTCCCCAGGTATCAACTGGCTGGGCCCCAGAAGCATACCCAGGGGTCAACCCCCCCAAAAAACACAAAACAAAACACCCTCAAATAAACCCCAAGCTGCTCCCTTGCAGTGCATAAAACAGCTGAATGTGCGGCATGTGGCACCACAGATGTAGATTCATAGAAATTAGGGCTGGAAAGGACCTCACCAGATCAATGGGTTCAGCCTCCTGCCCAAGGGGCAAGAAGTCAGCTGGGGTCAGATCACCCCAGCAAGATAAGCATCCAAGTGCTTCTTAAAAGGTATACAGAGTAGGTGCTTAAACCACTTCTGGGGGGAGTCTATTCCAGACTCTGGAGTCTCGGATGGTAAAGAAGTTTTTCTTGATGTCCAGTCTAAAAAGGTCTTCCAGCAGTTTATAACCATTAGACCTTGTCTTTCCTTGGAGTGCCCTGGTGAACAGACATTCTCTCAGATTTTAATGCACATCCCTTATGTACTTACAGGCTGCCACCAAGTCACCCCTGAGCCTTCGCTTCTCTAGCTGAAAAGTCCCATGCCTCTCAGCCTCTCTTCATAAGTCCTGTTCTCTTGACCTCTAATCATGCATGTGGCTCTCCTCTGGACTCTCTCAAGCTTCTTCACATCCTTTGTGAAGCACCACATACCACACGGCCATGCTCATCTGGATGAGGTCACACTGACTACTACTATGTTCCAAAAACAAGAGTGCTTCTGCACAGTCATATTTAACCACAATTGTTTATGTTTAGTCTCATTTTCACCGATGAGTTTTTTTTATGCCTTTCCCAATTTCTAATAGGGGCTTAATTTTTGTAGTGATATCACTTTCATCTGTTAAAATTCAGTACAGGCAACCTCTAAGTCACTCTGGGCTATAAGTCAGTGGAAAAATTGCCACAATCACTCTAGAAGGATTTAAAACCTTTACATAACCAATATGACAGGACTTTCTTTACCTGTAGTAAGTTTCAATGTAGCACACATGGATATTGTGGTGGTGAGGAGCCACCACAGGCTCCCGAAGGGGAGAGGGGAATCCCTGCAGGTCCCAGACCCTGGAAACAGATCCCTGGTAAGGGCGACTTACCCTCTGCCAGACAGCCGGAGCAGGAGCCAGGACCGCGGCCACAGCTGCAGCCGCAGCCGTGAGAGCCAGCGTTACACCGGCTGTTTAATCAGCTGTTTCCCAAGTGGGGAACAGCTGGACCAATCGCGGCGGCCGCGCGGGAAAGTTGAAAAGCCCTGCCGGAACCAGGGCAGAGGAGGAGCCGGGGAGAGAGAGCAGTGGTGCACAGCAAGTTAGACATGCTGAGACCCCAGCGAGGAAGAGGAGCAGCACAGCCTGCACAGCTCCCGCAGGCCACGCAGGAGAAGCTTGTGATCCCCCTACAGGAGGCAGAGCAGGGGAAGCCCCCCAGTTCCCTGCTGAAGGCCTGCTGAGGGAAGCCTTTAAGCTCCCTGTAGGAAGCAGGGTGGAGGAACCATTTGAGCCCCCTGGAGGAGGCCGGGGCCAAGGAGGTAGCTCCACAGCCCTCTGATCTTCAGGGGAATATTTCTTCTTCAAAAACAAACAAACAAACAAAAATAAACAACCCCCCCCCCAAATCCAAGAGCTGAGAGAAGGCAGGCTGTGCTTTGAAGCCAGCTGCACCCACCCCAGGAGGGAGGAGAGCCAGCTGCGTCCGTGCCGACATGGGACCCCACCTGGAACAAGCTGCGGGCAACCCGCAGGGCGAAGGCCCCATTCTATGAACACCCATCTGGTTGGCGAGTGGACGGGGTGTAGGGAAGGCGGAGCTCCGTGGAACATTGTGCCAGACAAGGTGTGAGTACTGCTGTTTGTTGGGAGGCCCTTTCAGGAAGATCTCCACTGAACCCCCCTCTCTAGCTAGTTTAAACATCAAAGTTGTGGCAGATGAGTTGAGGGGCAGGGCTACACACCTGGCAGGCTGCACAACACATCAGGCCCCAGCCATCACAGATATGAACATGCAACTCACAAAGTTCTCAGCATGAATACCTCAGGCACAGGCCCTAGTAAAATCTGTCCCCCGGGAGGCGAAGTAATGCAGGGCACTCACCAGCAGCTTGGGATGAGGAGCACATGGGGCGGAAAGATGAACCCACACGGCTCATTAGCCGCCTCTTTGTACAGCTGCGGCCGGCCGGTGACGTCAGCATCAGACGCTGGCCAGCAAAAATAAAAATGGCGGCCACAGCTGCGGAGGGAGCGGATAGCCAGGAGACAGAGCTGCAGCCGACGCCAGCAGCAGAGTGGGCTCCACGAGCAGACCCCGAGGACACCGACAAGCTGGAGGTGACGCTGGCTGGGGAGAAAGGAGCACCCCGTCGAAGACCCCTGCCAAACAACTGAGGAGTGACTGGCTGGCCGAGTGGAGGGAGAGTGGAAGCGGCACCTTTGAGCGCAGCAGGACAGGGCACGGAGGACGACACACCAAGGGGCGAAGACCCGGGGACCACCCTGAAGGGGGTTGCAATTGGGGTGGGGTTCACCGCCAGGGCCTGGGTGTTAAGTGATGGACTGGAGCTAGTCCAGGGAGTGACGAACTGGGCGGAGAGCCATCTCTCCCCTTAAGGGTTCAGGGATGGGGAATAGGTTATGGGTTGGTGTAGGAGTATTTGTTTTGTTTGGACTACCCCGAGCAATGGGGCAGAGACCATAGGGATAGCGCCCTGTGGCGGGGCTGTAGGGAAGCCTTGGTAGGGGCCATAGTGGGGAAGATACCCCGTGGGATGGGATCGAGGAGTGAAGCACTGCAGGGTCTGGCCTCTGGCTCCGGGATGCGGAGCAGTGAACGTGACCTGCGGGGAAGACTGTGGATAACGGCTAGGCGGTCCACCTAAGGTGGCATGAGGCCGGGGTGTAGGGGTGGTGGAGCCCTGTGAGCAACTGTCGGGCTCAGCCCGGGCCACCATGGGACCCGCTAACTGACCCCGTCTACTGAGGAACACCAAGACGTGACAGGAGAGAACAGGGTTGGCGATGCGGGAGGAGAGAACCACCTCGACGACAAACCGGCCCGGAAGCGGCGTGACATCCGCTAGCAGACCAAAGTCGCCCGAGAGCAGCTAGTCGAAGCCCGGTGGTCACAATCTGCATAATTACACAGGTATAAACTTTTGATAAATGCCAGTTGTAGCAACCCCTCAGAAAATAAACAGGGGTGATCTTTGGATGGGATGTGTCCCAGCCCAGCTGATCTGCTTCACTGGCATTTACAGACTTTGTCTGGGGATGCTGTCCTGCAGGGTTGGGCCCCTCAAGCTCCCAGGGCTTCAGCAGCCCAATGCTGCAAGATCCTGATAAATTGTAAAGCTGGGATGAAGCTAACAATGAAGTTCAGTGCTGACAAATGCAAGGTACTACAAATACAAATACAGAATGGGGGATATTTGGCTGGATGGCAGCTCTATGGAGAGAGATCTGGGAGTCTTGGTAGATTACAGACTCCGTATAAATCTGCACTGTGATGCAGCCAGACAAAAGGCAAATATAGTTTTGGGAAGCATCAATAGAAGCATTAGATGCAAAACACGGGAGATGATGGCACTGGTCAGGCCTCATCTAGAGTACTGTGTGCAGTTTTGGGCTGCATATTTTAAAAAGACGTGAAGAAGTTAGAAAGGGTCCAGAAGCGGGTGACTAAAATAATAAATGGCTTGGAAATCAAGCCATACAAGGTTGGGCTAAAGTCTGTAGGCATGTTCAGCGCAAAAAAGACACTTAAGAGAGGATATGATAGTGGCCTTCAAATACGTGAAAGGCTGCCATAAAGAAGAGGGAAAACACTTTCTCTCTCTTACTGCAGAGGGTAGGATGTGGAACAATGGTTTAAAGTAGCTGTAAAGTAGGTTTAGATGGGAGATCAGGAAAATCTTGTTCACTGTTAGAACTTTAAGGCAGTGGAATAGGCTGGCTAGGGAAGTTGTGGACTCTCCATCACTAGAGGTGTTCAAGAAGGGGTCGAGGATGATCTAGGTGTAGCTATATTGATGTTCATCTATGGGTATTTCCCATGCTTCTGGGCTTCCTGGTTGCTGCATGGGGCCAGGAGGGAATTCCCCCTCCCCATCTTCCCTGCTGCTACACATGTTGGGGTTCTTTAAAGCCTTCCTCAAAAGCATTGGGCATTGGCTGCAGCCAAGGCAAGGGATTTTGACTGCAGTCTGCCAATACACCTGCTGAGACTAGTCAAGTTGTCAAGAGTCACATACACAAAATCTTTCAGAAGATAACATTTTAACAAAATTATAGATAAAAACAAATCATATATAAAAATAAAACATCTACTATAACATATTATAATTTTATTTAAAAACATTGTTTTTGTCCTGATTTATGTTTAAGTAGCGTATATAGAGGCAATTGCATAGTAGCTCAAAATGAAGTGTTACCTTTGTATATTGTGTGTGTGGGGTTGGGGGGAGAGTGGAGTGTGTGAATGTCAGGTGTAGGGGTGTGTGTGTGGGGGGGGATGCCTGTGCACTAAGTCCCAGGCTGGGGGCCATGGGAGGGGCAGGGGATACATGCAACAAAGCTTGCTTGGGCAGTGGAGGAGTAGTCCACGCTCCCCCATCCAGCCTGCAGCTGCCACCACAGCACTTCAGAAAGAGCTGAGCCACGCTGTGCAACCACTGGCACACAATGACCCTGGCCCTGACTGACATGCACAGCTTCTCAGCAGGGCAACTCCCAGTGCAGCTTGACTCCTCCCACCTCAAACAGCTCTTCCTCCTCCCCCCTGCCCTTGCCACCTGCCCTTCTCTCTGAAGCTGGAGCCAGGAGGTTCCTGCCCCAGCACATAGGGCTTCAGGTCCCCACCACCTTCCACCCACTCAGCCTCCTGCAGGTGGCTGCTCATCACGCTGGGCAGGTGGAGTTGGTGCAAGATAGCCAGGAGCTGGAGCCCCGTGCACCATGACAGGAGCCACTCAGCTTCTGTTTCCCCTCACTCAGAGCAGCGCATCAGAAGCAGCTGCTAGAGGCAGGGAAAAAGCTTATGGAGGCATCACCTGAGCAGCTGCAGTGGAGCAGCCCTGTTGGGAAGCTGTGCTCACTGACTGGGGCCGTGTTGATAGGTGCAAGCGTGGTGCAGCGTGAATGGGTGGGTCTTAGCCCATGCAAAGTGCTGTGGGGGCAGCCACAGGCCGGATCCAATAAATTGGTGGGCTGGATCTGGCCCAGGGGTAGCATTTTGCCCACCTCTGGGCTAGAGGGACTTGCCCCACCACTAAGGATCAGGCTGATCATTATATGGAAGGAATTTTACCTTATGGGCAAATTGCTATGGACTGTGGGGGTTTTGCATTCTTCCTCTATCCCTGGGGGTGTGGTCCTTTTCCTGGGTTCTCTTGAGTATATATTAACAACCTTTATAGAAGCAAGGTGTTGATGGCTGTGGTCCCCATGCTTGACTATGTAGTTTTGCTAAAAGGTTAGACAATGCATATGTCAATGTTGGACTAGATGACCAATGGAGGAGGTTGGACTAGATGACCTATGGGGATTCTTTCCAGCCCTACTTCTCTAAGATTCTGTGAACTAATGTTGCTTTAAAAATGTTTATGGTGGCAAAAGGGTGATGTCTGTTTGTGCCTTCACTACCTACCGCAGACAGCTGTCTCAAAATCTGTATAGGTTACATCACTGTTAACAAGTTGTGTGGCAGCACCATGAATTCTCAAGCAGAAAATCAAAACTTTAGATCTATATAGCGTAAAATTCTAATGAGTACAGCATGGGTCTGTCTGAACAGGACTATTCACAGATGGAACACATGGTTAGTAAATAGATTAGGTCTCGCATTAGAAACTTACCAGTTTTCATCACAGGCATTATTACAGTTTGGGCAATATTCACACAAGTGGCCAAAACTTCTTGGATCAGTGCACTCGCATTTTCCACACACACAATGTCCTCTTCCACTGCAAATCTGGCCCTTTGAATTTATGCAGTGTTTTGCTGATAATGATGAACACTGACAGTGTTCACCTTCCCAGCCATCGAAGCATTTACATTTACCAGCTTCACATTCACCATTACCTGCAACATCAGATAGTCATCAGTACATATGGTTTCAGTTAAAGACAGACAGATTGCTTTAACAGATACACATCATCACTGTCTGAGCTATAAGTAAGGCTGCTTTAGCCTTTCATTCTAAGATAGCCATGTGCTTGTAACTTGCCGAAACTGTCAACATTCAAGCTGAAATTTGCCAATTTGATCCATGCTTACTTGTTTATATTTTCTGAATGTCTGAGCAAAAGCCTTTACATGGACTTTTTCATAAAATGTTATTCAATGTTTTTCTATTGGGGCCTTACATTAAAGCTAGTGGTGTTAAAAGAATACATTTAGCAAGGAGAAATTAATTTTGGTGGTTTACTAAAAGTTGCTACAATGTTTTATGGAGGGACAAAAAACAAAAACAAAAATAACTAATTCAGGTATCCATGGCAGTGTCACAGGGGCACTGAGGTGCCCAGTTCCTAGGAAGGAATAAGGGCAGCTGCCAATCACTAGGGCAGCTCAGGTGACGGTTGCTGGGGCAACCGTGCCTGTCAGGTGACCAGGAGGGGGCAGGGCCAGGCCTTTATAAACAGCCCAGACCGAAGCCTAGCGAGCAGTTCTCTTCTGGCAGCCTGAGATGCAGGAGCTCTGCAGTAGAGCCAAGCAGAGCAGAGATGAGCGGTGCAACTGATCACCCAAGGGGCTGCATCATGAAGTAAGGCTGGAAGGAACCCTGATTGTGAAGCTTGAAGGTGGAACATAGTGGCCATAGTGGTGGGACACTTAAGTTATAGCCAGGAGGCTTATTTTTGGTTATAGCCCGTGGGTTCAGGGCTTTATGTTTCTTGTTTGTTATTGCTACAGACCAGAGGACCGGGCAAGGGGTGGAGGAGGCCTCATTAGGAGCTCCCCAGAGAGGTGGGGGTGCTCCCAGTGCCGGAGGGTGGTGCTACAGTGTGGGGTGTTTAGACCCCGGCCCTAAGAAGGGGTGAACAGTGAGAGAGAGGCCCTGGTGAGGGCATGTGCTGAGAGAAGCCCCTGAGTGGGTGTATATTATTGATAGAAACCCCAGGAGGGGTGTGGAGTGAAAAGAGTCCCAGAGGGGCTCCACAGTGGTGGGAACCCCGAAGGGTCCAAGGGGCCAGGTAAGGCTCAGGCCGCCTGAGCCCAATTGGAAAGAGTCCTCGAGGGGCTCCACAGTGGTGGGAAGCCCGAAGGGTCAAAGGGGCCAGGTGAGGCTCAGGCCGCCTGAGCCCGCTTGGGGCAAGTACTATTAGTAAGCCTGAGAGGGCGAATGACCAGAGAAGGGGCGCCGGTTGCGTGGCAAGCCCAGTGGCACGAGAGAAGGGGCGCCGGTTGCGTGGCAAGCCCAGGGGCACCAGAGAAGGGGTACCGGTGGCGGGACAAGCCTAAGGGTGCCTGGCAGGGCGCAGAAAGGAAAGGGACCAGATAACATCCGGAAGAGCTGCGAGGCTTGGGGCATGCTAAAGGGGAGGTAGGAGGCACGCATAGCCCATACGGCTGGGGGTGCACCAGGTCACTCCATACGGAACGGGGAACAGTATAAGCATAGCACCGTGTCCAAGGGGACCGTAAGGCAGCCTCCCATGTAAAACTATACAGACCAACAAAACATGGCGGGCGAGAAAAGAGGGTGCTGGATCACCTACTTGACACGGCAGGGGGTGCTAGAGGGATCACGGCTGCTCCTAGGCCCCACTCCGTGACAGGCAGTTTGGAGTTTCTTTTTAGAAGACAGCATTGCAACAATAAAAGTGATGCAAGTATGAAAGGCCAGCATTGTGCAGGTGAGGGAATCTAATTTAAATTTATAATAATAAAAAGGGTAATGAGCTTAGCTTCATTTCATGGGAATTTAAAATGTACACTCTGCAAGAGTGAAATTGCCACAGAAAAGCCCTTACTTCCTTATAAATTTTTCATGTGAAAGCCTGGGGCTACTGAAAACATGTGCAAAGCACATGTTTTACATGTTGCAGCAGACTTGCACCGTTTCATTGTCTAAGTTCTGATAATATCTAGCCACATTTTTCCAAAGAAATAGAGGATTATTATTATTTTTACACTTCTATTTCTGATGGGGGCAAAAGAAGGGGCAAAAGGGTCCTAAGGAAAGGATTTTTCCTTGTTTTAATATATAAAGCAGTGGTTTTCAACCTTTTTAGACTCAAGGCCCCCCTTGGAAAGTGCCAGCTCTTAGTTTTCATGTATTTTTTGACTACAGAAAAATAATAGAGAAATTCAGATAAACCACAACAAGATAGAATGCGTTTAACACTATGAATTTCTGTTTGAAATCTCTTGGTTTACCTTGTGAATTTTGTTTGCACGCCTAACAGTGCTAACATTACATTGTACCCTGTGGCACCCTGGTTGAAGATCACCAATATAAAGAATATGTTAAGAAATGGTAGTTAGGCATTCAATAAATTAGGAAGTTAGAAGTAAACCTCAATTTTAATTATAATGCAGTGTTCAAGATACTCATGTGTTGTTATTTCTGCTTAATTTTGAGCAACTTTTTTTCATAATAACTTTATAAAATTCAGCATTCAGTGGAATTACTCCAAATTTACTCCCTTTAACTCTGAGTAAAGTTTGACCCTTAGCATACAGACACTGTAAAATGAAATGAAATAAATGAATGCATTCATTAAACAGGGAGCATAAAACCCCCTTAATCCTAAATAATTTTTTTCCAGATTTAAAGTCATTTCAAAGAATTGAATTTTTACTTTTATAAAAAAAAATAATTCTGGTAGACATATTGCAAAGTATCATTGCTATCTGTCTCTATTAACATTGTTATGCTACACTGACAAGTTCATGTAGCACAAATGCATAAATCATTTTCTCTATTAAAAGGATTGAGCCCAATAGTAGAATGAAGGTTTTAGACAATAAATCAAAATCTCTTCTTTTTATGTATATTTCTCAAGCTGCACTCCATTTGGACAAGGTATTTTGAAACACATTACAATATCTAACTGAAGATCACGCTGAAGTCTGACAGCACTAATTTGGGATGGTATGAAATTATGTTATACTGTATATTCACTGTGCTTTACTGTTTTACTCCATACTTATACTTAAAGCATCTGACACTACATTAGGGCTGTAGATGAACTCAGGGTATATAATTAAGACTCAGATCTGAAAGCAAGTTTTCTTATAGTTTGGTGTCATTTACAGAGACCAAAATGTCTTCTGAAATCATTAGGCATCTCTCCTCAGAAGCAAACAGTAATACACAAAGGGCAGCATGAGTCAAGTGTTTAAACTTCTGAGGGAGACAAGAATTGAAACCAATTTTAGATGGCGACTGAACTTGAGGAGGCAGCCAGCCAATATCATAGGCAGATCCTGGGCTAGCCACCATTTTCATGGGCTGAGCATAGTGGGGGGGGGGGGCCTGCCATGCCTCTGATTGGCCAAGGGGCCCCAATAGTCCCACCTTTTCCCAAAGATTGCCAGATGGCCCAAAACTGCAGCTTAATTATCCTGATTTAAACTGGTAGAAGCCATTAATCCATGCATTATTAAGCTTCCTCGGGCTTCCCCAGGCTTCTCCAGGATAACTAAACAGCAGTTTTCGGACATCCACAAGTGGGGAGGCTGTACAAGCAGCTGCACCAGGGTCCCTCCCCTCTGCCATCCTCCCTTTCCTCTCCCGTCTATGTTCCAAGTTTCACACCCTTTTTTCTGCCTGCCGGTAAGATTTTTTTTTTTTTTTCCCCAGCAAGCCTGCCAAAATCACAGAGCCCACTATTTTTAACAGAGCTCACCTGATTTGTTTTCTGTAAAAAAACAAAACAAAAAAAAATTGCATATCTGCAAATTTGGTAGGTCCCTACCAATCACATTTAGCATTTGCTCTAGGCAGTTATTATGCATGACACTTTAAAGAAACTCCCAGCCCCCATTCACCATGTACCCCGAAACCCAAAATGCTTATTGGTGCTTCTCAGTTCTCTTCACTGGCTGGATTGGGACCCTAGAAGCCTAACTTGGTCAAACTGAAACTTGGTCACATCTCCAGAGCAAGGACCCAGTACTTAACTGTAGGAATGCCTTAACAAAGGTAACTAAGACACCAATTTAATTAGCTTGGAAAAATTTTGATATATCAGAACTTCAGTTTCCATGGCTAGTGATTCATTCAATTTAATTTTAAAAAGTATTTGACAATCATATTCATTATTAGTAAGATGTATACTCTGTACAACAGATGGTTGAAGGAGGGGAAAGGAAGTGCACTTAAATTCTAAAGCTTACCGGCACACACAATTCCATGGTGATATGGGCAAGAGAAATCATCCATTTCACAGTATTTGCCATATACTTTGCCCAGCTTGCTTTTGTGACAGAAACATTTCCCACCTATACAATCTCCTTGACCACTGCAAACAAGCTGATTTTGGTGCATCTTGCACTTCTCAAAAGATGTATCTTCATTAGAACTGCAGTTAGTGGTTTTGCAATGGGACTTTTCCCCATCAAGAAAAGTTTCATCAGCACATACTTTTTTGTGCCTTGCACTGTCCTCACACTGACAGGCACAATTTCTATATATATTAATTATGGTGGTTTCATTGAAACCAATAGGCTTGAGTACTGCATATTTTTGTCCTCCAGTTGTAGTGCATCCTTTCATTGCAATGGATACATTGAAAAGCACCTAAGACAAAAATAAAGACTGCATTTATATATAGATATTATAGAAACATCTAAAGGCTCATCATGTCTGGCTTCTAAGACAAGCATGTATACTTTGGAATGGGTCATGTATGGCCTTTGCTACTAAAAGACTACTTACATTTCCCTCCGTACTTAGTTTCCACTATTCAAAATATACCCTCCTCCTCAGTGTCACATATTGTTAGAAGTTTATTAGCAGTCCATGAGTGAGTGCTTCTCTTTATAACGTATCAATGAGGTAGCGAAAGTGTTTTGTTTTTTTTTTTATAAGGGCTGTAGTCCAGAGAGAGAGATCTCTGTTTTCAGTTCACTTGTTACCGGGAAGCAGAAACCAGCGACTCATTTGGCATTCTCCCATCAGGAAGAGGGAGTCAGCTGGAGGGGATGATAGAGAAGACATCCCATAAAGAGTGTCCAGCAGTGGGAGAGGTCTTGCATTCCCGTAACTTTCTTGTGATTATATATGGAAAAGCTCCTTGAAACTTATTTAAAAAAAAAAAAGTGCCATCAGTGAAGAACTAGATGCCATGTAGTATTAGTATGGCCTAAACTAATTAGCTGTATTGAAAAGCAGGCAGTGTTATTTTTTGGTGGCTACAGAGCAGCAAGTGAGAAGAGAGATAGATGGAGAGCAGGGAACATGGAAGGCTAGAGTAGCAATTTTCAGGTATGCTACAAATCCCTTCAAACTGACTTTTCTGATTTTCTTTTTGTTTTTCTGCATCCATTTTTTGGAATATGCCACCCTGCCACTGAACAGGTATCTATGGCTATGAGAAGCCCAGGAAGCTCCAAAAGTGGTAGAACAAGCTGCCTCCTAATTTTTGTCTCATAAATAAACCATAGTAATGACATGCTCTTCTTGTTGACTTCTTGCTTAAGGGGTCCACAGCAAGCTCAGAGGTTTATGTCAAGACACTGAAGAAATGGAAACATTTCATGCAAACAACTGAAAGGAGATATGTCTAATGTGCTGCTTCTGCATGACACTTGCCCACATACCCACTTGTGCACCACAGAGGCATTGTTTGGATGGACTGCCATCCTAGAAAATGAAGGACAGAATATGAGAGCAACATTTTTTGAATGACAGCAAAGTGATGGAAGCTGTGTGACAGTGGTTGAGCAGAAAGGACAAGGACTCTTATAAGATTGGGATACCCATGTTTACTAGTAGAAAAAGGCCTTTGATGTAGAAGGCTACACTGACATTGTTCAGTGACAATGTACACATTCTCTATGCAAGTTCCAATTATTATTATTTTCTAATAATGTTTGGCTGAGCAAAAAACTTTTGACTGGCCCTCAAACTTTATACCAGATTCAGGAATTTTTAGAGTCAGTGCTACCCCTTTTTTGACGGATTGAGTTAACTGCTTATGAAAGGTACTAGATGCTCAATGGGCTGACTGGAAAGAGAAGATTGGTACTTGAGTTAATCAGAGTAGGATACACAAACAAAAAGAATGGATGCAAAATATTCTGTGGGAAA